CCCCCCCTTTTCCTCCCTTTTTGTTTTCTTGTTTTTTTCTTTTTTTCTTTTTTTTCTTTTTTCCCCCCCCCTCAACTTCTGTTACTTTGTTGATGACAAATCTTTTGACATGTCTTTTGAATCCAAAGCTCTAAGCATCACAACAGCAAGGAGAACTAATCATAAGACAGATACTTGAAGCCAGATCTTTTTCTACGGGGTAAATTTTCTCATCAAAATAAATGCGGAGGGGATCTGTTAGTCTTGGAAAGATTATTGGTGTGGAATGAATTGAGGTGGGAAAGAACCCACAAACTTCTAAGTTGGAAGAAAGTCCCATCTACCTCTTTTTCCAGATTCACACACTCAAGTTTGATTTATGTGGTGGTAGAGTTTATCTAGGTAGAGTTTAGGTACTCAAAGAGCTACAGTTATTTATAGCTTGTCTACATGTTAAAGACCAGTGTTTGAATTGCAGAACTTAATATATGCACTTAACAGATGAGATGCACTTTGCTTGTATTGGCTTATGTTTGTAAGGGCTATTACTGGCACTGGTATTTGCCTCCTAGTGAAGAGTTAGTTGTCAGTTCATAAACACTGAAGTTAGAATATTTAATTCCTAACATTTTATCTGATCCATTTAGTGTTTCGAAGCATTAGCGCTGTTCTCTACCGAAGAGAAGTTGTTAACTTGTGACACATCCACAGCTTGGACTGTCTTTTCGCTCGCGTATTAAAACTGTGGTGGTATTTTTGGCAGCTATTTTTTCCTCTCTACTAACCACAAGCAACATCTTTTTTGCAGTAAAGCTGTGATGGATCTGTTGGTTGACTTATGCAGTCGGTATCACCTGAATCCAGCCCAACATAGTCTTGAACTGAGGTCTTGGGCCATGCAACAACCCTTGAGTTACAAGCCAAATACTTTGATAGGAGCACTGGATGTGCAGACAGTCCTTTTGAAGGAGAAGATTCCTGAAGAAAAGACAAAACGACCTCCACCAAGGGTTCCTGAGGTCAGTGACGTGTGGAGTTAAAGCAGTGCCATGAACCAATATTTTGCTGTTGTGATTGAAAGCATTTTCTTCCCATTTCACCACTCTTTAAAGCAGACAGGTGTGGCTTGATACTGGATCTCACCTGCTCTACTAGCTTCACTAATTGGTGCAGAGTGGTGGTTAGTAGCCTTGACTTCAGTGTTTACACAAAGTGTTGTGCTCCAGCTGAGTGAATTCTCTTCCTATAAAGATTCTTGTTGGAAAATCCTGATGTTTGGAGTTGGCAGTAGTTGCTAAACTAAGGCTTCTTGGATTGCGGGGTGGTAGGTTTTGAAGGTTTTTTGTTCCTTTTTTGGGGGAGCAGGCAGGGAGATTTGGAGTTCTGCCTCTCTTGAGAGTTAATGGAATACTAGAAAAGTTAATTTTGAGGAAAATTACTCTTTACTAAAAAAAACCAAAACAGGAAAAGATTGATCATAAATGTATTGACATCACTGTGGAGATGCAAAATGGCCATGTTCCAAATACTTGTTCCTTGAACTTTGTATTAATAGGAACAATTAGAGCTAATTGCACTCATCTTAAGTAAGAGTGGTGCTTCTAAATACTGACATAGAAAGATGACTGATTCCTGTTTCTTAGCTGCCTGGCATGTCTTTTGTACTGACAGAAGAGTGTCCTGAGAGGTGGTGTTTTTTTCGTTTGTTTGTTTTGCATTTCATTTTTAATAATCTATTGCTTTCAGTAGCGTGGTAGGTTTGCCTAGAAGGACAGTGTGGATGTCCCCATTGCCTCCCTTATTATAAGGGAGCATAACCCTCATTGGGTGGGGGCTGAGGATTTTCTTGTTTTTCTGCAGAAATCGGTGAGGCTGGTTGTGAACTACCTGAAGACACAGAAGACTGTGGTGCGGGTCAGTCCGGAGGTGCCCCTCCACCACATCATCCCCACTATTTGCGAGAAGTGTGAGGTGAGCCAGGAGCACGTGGTCCTCCTGCGTGACAGTGTCACCGGGGAAGAGCTGGAGCTCACCAAGTCCTTGGAGGAGCTGGGCATAAAGGAGCTATACGCCTGGGACAGGAAAAGAGGTGAGCCGAGGCGGAATGTAGGTGCTGATGTCTGGGGTGACACTGGGAGAGTGATACTGTGATCCCCAGTGATACTGGGGGAGACCTAACATGTCCACGCTCTCCTTGCATTGAGGCTGACTTAAATAGGAGAGTGACATTTCAGAGAGCGAGCCAGCAAGCTGGCCAGGTGCCACCAAAGGAGGAGCTTTGTCTCTTCCCCAGCCGCTGTCAGTGCAGGTGCGTGTAAGCCAGGGGCTTATCCGCCTAGAGCCTGTCCTCCCCCGGCCATGCTGCGGGACGGGCGGAAAGCGGAGGCATGGCCTCGCCATGGCCAGAGCTGGCAGAGAAACGGGACATAACTGTTCCAGTGAAGAGGAACTGAGGAGGTATCTGCCTTAAAAAAATTTGCTCTCATGCTATTCCACTCTCTCTCAGACATTTCTCTGCAGGTTTCTTGGGCTGCAGTCTTAGCAGCCTGAGTGCGTGTTCACATGGCATAAATATTAAACACACTTTAAAAATGCACACTGACAAGTGCTATTTTCTTCAAGGTCAGAAAGTACTATTCATTAAAATTATTTCCTGCAGTTTGTCGCCGTCAGCATAGCTTTGAGCACAGTAGGTGCCCTTACTTATTGTTTAGATAGCGTCAGTTTTGTGCACTGTGTGCTGCAGGCTTATTTTTTATTTATACAGTAATTTATTTATGCTGATGCTCCATCTCTTCTTTCAAAGAGCTTTGACAAGTGACAGCTTTACCTTGGTGTGAACCAAATTTCAATGACTTTAGTTTAAGTACGCTCAATGTCTACTTTTCCTTTGAGTTGTCAGGATGCTTCAAAAAAGTGGCTGACAAGATGTCATAACTCCATTGCATGTTTTTTTTTTTCTTTTTTTTTCCCCTAAGTTTGCTGTAATTAAGCTAAGCATTTTGAAGCAACATATTGAATGTGCAGAGTATTCAACAGGAAAACATACGCGAGGGACAACTTACAGAATAATTAGCTGAAGCCTGCCTTAAGCTCCTTCTTTAAAATGAAAGTGATGATGTATTCTGACATGATATGGGCCCTCGAGCCCATGTTGGAACAGTCCTGGTACAGCCTGGGCAGACAGCTAAAAGACATCCCTTTAAAACAAGGGTTACAGCTGGAATCAAATAGTGCTATGTAGTGTGCTGCTCTTCACATCAGAAGCAGTTTTTATTTTATTATCTTAATACACCTTTCATTAGAATAATATCTCCCTGAGCATATTACATCCATTTTTGCTTCCCCCCGCCACCTTACCCTGCACCCTGGTGTCTAATGAGAAAAATGATTAATTATACATACATACATATATATATACATTTTTTTCATGAAGTTCCCTTTGTTCCAGCAAGCGAGTAGTCAATTTAGTTACCAGAAGAACGGACAGAGCTCACCTTGTTGCAAACAAGGGAGGTGTCAGAGCTGCTGAAAGCCCAAGTTGCTTGCAGAAGCGGATTCTAGAAAAACATAGCGCTTGCCCTCATCTCTTCTTCCCTGAAATAGAAATCCTGTGTTCTCAAGTTATAGCAGAAGTGTTACCAAAAGATGACCTCTGCTGCCACCTGCTTGCATAATTCAAGTTAGCAATTGAATCAAAAATGAATTCAGAGACTTTAGCATCTAGGTAGCTTCTAGTTGCATGTCTCTTTTAGACAAAAGTTTTACTATAGCACTTAGGAAAACAAATGATGGGAGTAATGAATGAGTACTGTGGCTTACCAAGCAATACTAGAACTTTAATGTGTTTTCTTTTGTCCTTTCATTGCTTGCCTTTTCCAGTTCCTCCATCAAAAACTCAGTCTGAGCCTTCTCTGAACTATAGAGGTACTGTACTATGCTGCTGAGGAAGATCAGCTTTCCCTTCCCACTGTTGAGCATGGTTTTGGTAGATCTTTGGGAGAGTAGTACTGTGGAGAAGCAGGCTTTTTGGCAGCCTGTATTTTTAGATGATGCTGTTTACATGGCTGTGCTTTGCAGTAGAATAAATACATTTGTGTGCACTGTGCTCCTTCAGTAATTGCTGAAAAATGTCAAACAACTTACAAATTAACTGATATGTGGTATGGTATGCTTCCACTTGGATTTTAAGCTGTCTCTTTTTACCTAAAAAGATTATTTGAATTTTAGAAATGCTACAATTTCAGGGGCGTCTCAGGTTCGAAATTCATATAGTGGCCAAAATAGAAAATTCTAATACCTAGGAAATCTTGCACTAACTTAAATATACTAAACATTCTCATCCTAGACTTAAATGTACCTCTGTACATTAGATTACTCTGAATAGATACCAATGGCTGAATGGCAATTGTGCTTTCATTACGCAGAAGTGTATACTTCACATGTCCACTTTCCCCACTGAATCTATTATAATATATTGATTAAATCAACATATCTTCAAGGAAGGTATAATTGAGTGTAGCTTGCTTGGCTTTGCCTACCTAGTAACCCTAAGATAACCAGAGCAAATGAGGAGGTAACTCCTGCAGACTTGCAGGAAGAAGGGTAGCCTGCCGTCTAGTGGCTAGACATGGTCTGGATCAGTCAGTGACCAATTGACACTGAAATTAGTATTATTTCTCCCCAGTGCCTCTGTCCTTGTTTGCACTGGTTTCCTCTTGCATAGAGCCTAATGCCAGAGTTGAGATCTGCCTTATTTGTTTAAGAAAAATAGATTTAGTTTGACAGAGATTCCTCGATGCTTTGAGATGGATTTTGAGATGGAGGGTTTACAATCTCAATTTTAGTTGAAAGAGATATATAAAATGTTTAATGAAAATGTTGATTGTGAACTTACTGACCTGTTACTGGCCTATCCTAGCATTTGATAGTAAAGACTATGTGAGCAAGGGTATTGTCATGATTTGCATCTAGTTGCAACCTGGCCCTGAGCAGAAAAATAATCATTTCTGGTGCATGAGTATAGGCAGTGCTTCGTATTTGAGTAGGCTATTAATTTATTACTGTGTCTCTTTGTGGTGGAGTCGCAGCCTTTCTTAAGGATAGTCTCTCCCTGTTTTCATCTGTTTATCATCTTTGCTTTCCTACCATGCTTTGAACTAGTGTCTTTAATACCTTCTAACACCCGACATTATTGCAAAGTGATCTTTGTGTGAAATGCAGATTTACCAAAATTCTAGAATTCGTTTTGAGTCATAGAACATTATTTCATCATAGCAAACAAGTCATTTTACGTATGCTTTTTAATTATTATTAAAGAATTTTTTAAAAAAGTAACTTTTTTTGGTATGTGAAATTTTGTGTGCTAGCGTAATGCTCTGATGTGCTTGGAACCAGAGAGAGAAATCAATATAGTGTTACCCAATGCTCGTTAAATTTGAGGATTCACATTTGACTGGAATTGAAAAATTGGAGAGCTTTACAAGCTGTATAATGTATGTCAAACTGGTGATTGCTCTTTATAATACACAATCTTATGATATAATTGGATTCTGCTGATGCTGGGGAGGGTGAACAGAGACTAATTGATCTGAGAAGTCATTCAAGTCATTAAACAGTTCAAGGAAGACATGGATGTTTTTGAGCCCTTGCAGCCTGCTACCCATACAAAATTGCTTCGCTCCCCATCTGAAATGAAAGGCCTCAGGACAAGACAAGATTATAGCATGAATATCCTGGTTTATGCACAGAGGAAAGCCATATTTTTGGGAGAGAGGGCTTTTTCACTCCTTTTGGAGCATGATCCAAATTCACACCAAGTCCTTCATTAACTTCCCTGTGTTGATTGGGTCCATGGTGTTAAAGATACTGATCATCATTATTTCCAAAAGTCAGGTTTGGGATACTACAGTCCTCCATGAGTTTGAAGATAAGCTATCTAACAAGCATTTTGAAAGAGTAAGTAACTGGCTCTGGAGGGAAATAGTTGAATCAAAACTAAAAAGTTTGTGAAATTGCTGCCCTTTGCCTTCTGTAGGCTTTGGAGCAAACTCAGAATGAGTCAGAGTTCAAAAATAAAATCTGAGATATGGTGTTTACTTAGATAATTTTATGAGTTTCCAATGTACTTAGGCTAATAAAAATATGGCATTAAGTGAGGATGCTTCACAATAGTGATCTTCTAATTCTTTATTTCAGAAATGTAAAAGATTTTCCATTATAATTGTTTCAGAACCAAGTCGAAATGCCTCAGTAATCAATGATGCAATAGAAAAAGAAAAGCGAGGATTTCTGGGATTTTTCAAAGCTAGCAAAAGAAATAGCAAGGTAAGTGTTCAGTACTGTTTTACCTTGATACAGCTGGAAAGAAATTCTCTTTATTTTGCCTGTGAGTGTTTTCTTATGTTTGTTTTTTCAGGGAGCCTCTTTTAGCAGTTGTATAATCTTCGTTTAAGCAATATCCTGTGGTGGAGTTTTAGGATGCCAGTTGAAGGCAATGGGCTTGTGGTGTGTTCAGCTTGTTTTGGAAGTGTTAAGCATTAGAATGCAGTACAAAGGGGTGATACAAAGGGCTGTAGTTTCAAGCAACTTATTTCCCCATTTCAGTAATGCTCAGATAAAAATGCACTTACGAAAGCACTGATGTAGCGTAGAGTACATGGCTGTAGATAATCAAGTAAAATTGTGCTAACACAGACTTTTTCTATATGTACATAGTATTCTGTTTTAAAGAATTTTCATCTTTAGGAAGACCTGTGTAGTCAGAGTTACTGAGAATGTAAAGCTAATGAATGCAATGCAGAATAAAAAACTTGAAGTATCAAAAGAGTAATAAACTGAAGGATCCATGTCTGTTGATACTATTCTTTTAGCTTTGTTTTTGATCTTGAACTGTAAGCTTTAAAACAAAATAAATATATTAAAAAAAAAAAAAAAGAATATTGGAGCCTTAAAGAAATGAAATACCATGAACCATAAGGCTTTTCAGGAGTTGTCAGTGTTACCGTCATTTACCAGTTCTGGTTCTGGGTTATTCCATGAAGAAATGCGGGGTTTTGTTTTGTTTTGTTTTTATCATCCTATCTGCCAAAGAACTTGCTCCAGCTAAGTACAAGGTACAGTTTCAGCTGCTAAATTTGAATAACACAAAAAACTATAGAAGAAGACATAACAGCGACTTTATAAAGGGAAAACTGGAGAATAATATTTCTTCATTCTCTGTAGACAACAAAAAATTGTTGAGAAACCTATATGAAAAGTTTGTGCCACTAATGACAGAAACTAAATACAAATTTTTTTGACTCAAGAATGTATGAGAGTGGGTTTTAACTTTATACATATTTGATGTATGAAAAGAGTGGGTTTTAACTTTATACATATTTGTGCTATTGCAACCATAGCTGCAAGTGATTTTGATTATAAAATGTTTAACACTATAGAATATCAGAGTAGATTTTTTTTTTTTTATGATTTATGTACACCTCCAAAGCTTTTGCAGTGAAATCACAGCAGATATGTGTCTGACTAACTGGTACATAGAAACATGCTTTGTTAGGGGACTGGTGTTTCACTGGACATGTTTTTGTCAGTTGTCTTGGTCATGTTTTTAAGTCCTCGTAAGTTTTATGCCCTTTCATAATGTCCCCAACATTATGATCATTTTCAGGTGCTTTTGCCAGGTAATAGCTTCCTTTACAGAAACTGGGATTGGCTTCATTGCAAAAATATCATCTGTTATGGATGTTGAGATATTAGCTTTTTATGAAGGATACATGAAAGCTATTTTTTATGAGATAGGAAGTCAATCAGTTCAAAGAGATTATCCTCTATAGGATAATGAGAGTGTAACAAAAGCGTAGCACTGAAGAAATCATTCTGTATGGGCTTGGAGGGAGATAGTAAGCAAGGAAACTTGAATATAAGCCTGTAGACTATGCTACAGGACTGTTTTTTTCCTCTGGAGAAACTAAATATATTACAGCATACAGTATACAGCTTAACAGCTTGTCTGTTTTGCTGCATTTTGGTATGAAGTGTGATGGTGGTGGAATTTTGCTTCCTGAAGCAGCTCGGATTTAACTTGTAAAATATTTATGCTTGCAATGTCAGAAAACTTGGCTATGAAGAGGACTGATTCTGAGGTTACCACAGGGCGTTTCTCACAGCTTTTTGGTTTCAAAATTCCAGGTTCCCTCCCTTTTCTTTTGTTATTTCTGGTTAAGAAACATGAGGAAGAGAAATCTGAGGTGATACTATGGGATTTTTTTTAAAAAAATATTCATTCTAATGGAGAGTAAGGATACTGAGGATCAATTAATAGGTTAATATTTGACCTGGGAGAAAGTATGGGAATGGCATAAACAAGCATGAGTAGGAGTTTTTAGATCTGTGATAAAGGTGCAGGTCTTGCTAGTTTGGGCAAATTCATTGACTTTCCCTGATAACTCCCATATTTGATACTTGTTCTCAAATGCCAAGCAAGCTATAAGAAAAGAGATTAAAACAGTCACATTATTTAGACCAACAAGGAAATCACCTTTCCAGTATGAATGTCCAGCAGTCTGCACCCAAGAAGAGAAAAGAATTACTTAAATATAAAGGATAGTGGCGCATGCAAGAGCAACTATATATTAACTGGCCGTGGATACATCTGGCTTCGTTTAAAGTTTAATGGAAGGTTTCTAGCCAAAACAGCAGTGAAACTGTTGAAGAGATTTCGTTAGTGAAATGAGGACAAGTTAATTTAAGTTTTAGTTTGTTAGTTTTTTCTTTTGTTCTTTAAGAAAAGATTTGGTAGATTTATGAAGGCATTGCCTGGTGACTTCAGGCCACAGGAGTCTGTGGGCCAGGAGGTCTCCTACAGTTCTCTGGTGTTTAAAGTGTTACTCCCTTACAGTTTTTACTCCTTTGCTGAGACTTCAGTTGCATCCAATAATTTGTTTTACTCTTTTTTCTTTCTTCTTTTTTTTTTTTCTTCTTCTTTGGTCTCACTTTGCCTTTTGATTTGGAGTGATTCTGTGTGTTTGCATTCATGCATGTTGTGTATTTTACAACTGATTTTGATACTGACTGTCTCAGGCCTTGCACAGAAGCAGCACTGTGGAGGTATTTACAAGGCAATAGGTTTTCCTGTGCAAGGGAAGAAGAGAGTGTTAGCATGTGCTGCAAGCTGTCCTGGATCAGATGTCACTCCACAAGATGGACCTGTGCTCGGATTTCCTTCCCTACCTCTGGGGTATACATGCTATTTTCCTCCATCTCTCCCATGTCACTGAAGGCAGTGGCCATGGTGTGACGATACACTGGATCTCACTTTTGGGGATTGTTTTCTGCCATATTAAAAACACTGGGGCACAGAATAGAAAGCAGAGACCTGTTCTGGTAGGTGATACAAATTTGCTCAAAGTATTTCTTTGGTTAACTTTGTGCTGGCAGGCTAAACACCAGATCAGGTATCATCTTGTTCACTTCATTCTAATTTTATGCTGGATCGGTTACCCTCTGTTCTCCTGCCATAGGCATAAAAACAGAAAGGTGGCATGAACTCAGTTATCTTTCTGATGTGAAATTTAACCCAAGGCTAAACTGTGATCAAACTAGCACTGCTAAGGACTGTAATAGTGCAGAGGTCCTGTGCAGGTGATCAGCATGGCTTGGGAAGGAGCACAAGGAAGCAGCCCTACGAAAACTGTTTGTGGGGAGAGGTGCCTCGCTTCGATCCCCTGTCCCAGTAGGTGTTGCAGAGACCATGACAATCGAGTCCTTGGTGCTGCAGGAGCTGTCTGCCTTGAATTCTTCTGTTTGTTTCCTTATATTCCTATTCTTGAATTGTTCTGCTAATGGTTTTCTTTCCTTGCCCATCAGAGAAATTTTGGAAACAACCTCAGTGTTTCTCAGCAATCAGTTCCAGCCCCTCTGAGGCAATTTGTCTTGGTTCTGTGATGAGGCTTGGTGCTTTGCTCTGGGATGTTTTTGCTCTGTTTTGTTTCATTTTTCGCTGCTATGTAGGATACCTGTTTGTGTTGCAGACAGAAGAGCACTTGTGGATGAACAGAGATTGTGGTGAGGAGGATGTTTTTAGTTCTACATCTACAAGTGAAGGAAGCTTGGATGTAAGTACTAACATGGCTGGTAGATGCTACTGCATTCCTATTAGACCTTGCAGTTCGAAATGGCAGAAACTGCTGCTTTTCCCTATGCTTAGCTGAGTAGAAGTAGAAATAGCATTTTTCATAGATAGTCTTCCTGAACTAGTCTTTCGTGTGTGTGGTTCACACATCTAGATGCAATGCGTTATCTTCAAATAAACTTTTTGCTAGCTTCAGTATAAATAGGTTTCTCTCAACATAAAATTTGAAGCAGTTTTAAACAAAAAGTGGTTTAATGAAGGAGGTAGGTGTTCTCCTCATTTGAACTGGGCTTTAAGACAGTTACCACACTGCATGGAGCAAATATTTGTTTTCCATGTCAGGACCTTTAATGGGATCTTTTCTTTCTTAAAGCTGCTCTGCAGCTCTTCTATCACTTCACGTCTTCTCTGAGCATGGCAGCATTGCACATGTTTCTTATGTATGTTGTCTTCTGTTTTGAATGCCAGAAATAGCAGGAGAGGGTTTTTTTTAGGAGCTTCAGAGGGTTTTGAGGTATTAAAACGCTACGAATCAGATCTAGAAAGGTTTTAAAGCATCTTTGAGACAGACCTGTAATCCAGGACTTAGGTATCTAATTAGCAACAGTGAATCCTAAATACTTTCAGAAGACTGTTCTGGTAGGTGAGTGATCACAGTAAATGGGGTCATTTTGTTGCATTGGTTAATTACTTGGTTTTTCATCATTGTATTTTCAAAACTTGGGAAAAAAAAAAAAGTGTTGGTGACATGATAGAAGCCTGAAATGTGAGGTTTGACTCTGAATGTATCTCAGAAATAAATATTTGGAAAAGAAGTGCTGATTCATAAAATGTGCAGCTCAATAGTGAGAGAGAAGAGTGCCAGAAAATTATGAATAAATGAAGGAGGAGGAGAGAGATAGCAGAACCCAAAGAAAAAGGATCAAATAAAAGAAGTCAAAAGGTGAAAAGAGATGGAGAAGTGATTGGCTGTGAGGGTAAAGAGCATCCAACTTGGCATGTTTGTGAAGACTTCATAATGAAAGACTACAGAGATATGAAAGTTGCTTACGACGCTGAAGGAAGAACAATGTTTTACTGAGAAAGCTGTATCAATATAAAGCTATAGTAGAAAGTGGTATGGGTAGTTGAAATAAATACGCTAGATCACAGTATAAAGAAAACTTAGGCCAGGTCTACTAAAATAAAATCTGTTTGT